TTTTCGAAGAGGACAATGACAGCACAGGTCTTGATTTCTCTGTAAATTGGATTAAAGTGAGGCAAAGTTGCTGTCTTCAGCTTCACTCTCTCTTCCAGTCACTGAAGTTCAGTGGCAAGACAAAAGTCAGGATGAATGACAAAGGCACTGGGAATGAATGGATGACCTTGGTATCTCTGATGTCTGACCAAACTCTTAAGTGCTCCACAGCACCGGTTTCAGCCACTTTCATTGCTGTTGGAACAAACTGTTCTCATTTGCCCATTCTGCTGGGGGAAGTCTTCACATGTTTGGGTTAGATATTTCCCTACCTCACCAGTGGATTTGAGACCTGCTGCTTATCCTCAACCTGGTTTAGGGTAAGCATCCAAGACGTAACAGAGAAACCTCTTAGACATATCAAAGAGATAACAACTACTTCCTTCTGGTGAATCATGTAGGCATAAATGAGAAATTACTAATGGTCATGATGAATTAGGCAAGAAACTGAAGACCCTAACGGTACAATTTTTCTTCAAAAAGGCAAAGGATAAAAAAGGGAAAAATTAATTTGGGAGATTAACAGCTTCTAAGAAGGTTGCATCTGAGAACAGATTTGGATTTCTTGATCAGTTTATAATATGGGAGTGAAAGGCCAGAGAAGGAATATATCAGCAAAAAGCTGTTAAAGACATATTTAACATATTGTCTTACAAATCAAATCACAAGAGTCTAAACCAAGAAGGATTGGAGAGGGAATGGACTGCCTAGGTATATTCTCCAAATTAAAAACTATAGAGAGTAGACACAAAGAATAGCAGCTGACAGAGCAAAAAAGTCATAGAAGACAAAAATCAATAAAGGAGCCAGTAGTAAAACCCATGGCTTCAAGTGTCCATACATGAATGTTCAAAGTTTAGACAACAAACATGATGATCCTAATGCAAGGGGGCAAAATTACCCTTATAGGTTTCATTGTTACTTGGGAACAAACCCATGATTTAAAAATGAGTCTGGATGGGCATTGTTCATTCAAAAGAAATAGGATATGGAAATGGGGAGAGGAGGGAGATGAGGGAGAGTATTGTCTACTTTTCCTTTTTTTTTTTTGTGAGGCAACCGGGGTTAAGTGGCTTGCCCAAGGTCACACAAGTGTCAAGTGTTTGGTCTGAGGCCGGATCTGAACTCAGGTCCTCCTGACTTCAGGGCCAGTGCTCTATCCATTGTGCCACCTAGCTGCCCTGAGAGTATTGTCTACTGAGAAGCTATACTCATGCAAGGAAATTCAAGAACCAAAAGAAAGGAGTATTATGGAGAATTTTTCAGTAAAGGACAAAGAGGAAAAATAGAAGGTTTTTAAAAAAAATTACTGCACTAGGTGGTGCAGTGGATAGAGCACCAGCCCTGAATTCAGTAGGACCTGAGTTCAAATCCGACCTCAGACACATAACACTTACTAGCTGTGTGACCCTGGGCAAGTCACTTAACCCCACTGCCTAGCCAAAACAAAAAATAAAAAACAAAAAAAATTACTGCAGTATACTACAGACCATCTGATCAGAAAGAGGAAGTAGATGAGAATGGCAAACATCACAGGTATGTCAAAGAGACATAATATTGTAGTGATGGGGGAACTTTAATTACCTAGGTTTCTTCTGGAACTCTGTCAAAAGCAGGGCAGCTAATTACTTCTTGATTTGCCTTAAAGATCATCCTTCAAAAGAATAAATGCTTCTTCATTCAAATAGGTGCAGGTATACGCTGTATGAGAAGGGATGGCCAGGGATGCAGTGTCTTGGGAGAAGCCTTGTTTCTCTGAGTGGCAGAATGCAGAGGGTATACGAGAGGGGAAGGTTTAAGATGAAGGAAAGTTTGGTAACAACAGAAAAGAGGTTCCAAGGAGCATAATAAAAGGAGCAAACTCATATGGATTGGGAATTAAGAGTAAAATTTGGGTGCCAGATATGATAGTGATGCCATTATTACAAATAGATAACTTAAGGGGTAGATTTTTTTATTAAATTATTTTGATTTATCAACAATTACTTCCATAAGCTCTTGAGTTTTAAATTTTTCTCCCCCTCCCTCCCTAAGATGGCGCACAATCTTATATAGGCTATACAAATACATTCCTATTAAATATATTTTCACATTAGTGATGTTGTAAGTAAGAATTAGAACCACTAGGAGGAACCCCCAGAAAGAGGAAACAAAACACAACAGAAGAAAAAATAGCAAATAGTATGCTTTGATCTGCATTCAAACTCCATAGTTCTTTCTTTGGATGCGCGTAGCATTTTCCATCATGAGGCCTTTGGAGATGTCTTAGATCCTTGTATTGCTGAGAAGAGCGAAGTCTATCAATTAGGGGTTTTTTTTTAAGGAAAGATGGTGTTCTGTTTGATATACTTAAATTGTGATGCCAATTATATTTCCAGGTAAAAATTTCTAGCACGTAGCAAGAATTGGAGCTCTGGCTAGCTGTAATATTTAATGTAAAGAGAGTGGGATTCACGGAAGACAAAGACAGAAAATGCCCTTATATATCAACATAGTAACAGAAGATATTTTTGTGATACCAAAGAACTAGGAAAAAAAAATAGTGTCCAACAATTGAGAGATGGTTAAAAATATGTGGTACATAAAACTACATATGAACAATTCAGAGAAGTATGGAAAGACTTAAGTGAAGTGATACAAAGTAAGCAGAACATGGGGAAAAAAACCCCCCACAAGCACTGACTACAGTAATATAAAAGGGAAAAAGTGACCGCTGTCTAATTACAATGACCAAGCTTGGACCCAGGAAAGAACTGAGAAAATATACCTTCCTTTTTTCACTGGAGAAGTGGACAACTACAAAGGCGGAATGCTTCCTATACTGTTAGACACAACGGGGTGGTTGTCAAAAAAAATTTTTTTCCTTTCAAAGTCTTTGTTAAAAGGGAAGCGTCACTGAGGAGAGGAGGGATATATCCAGAAATTAATGTGAACTACAAAAAGACATCAATAAAACAAGTGAGGGAAAAATAATGCAATTTAGTCACAAAGATATGAGTTTAGATCCCAGATCTGCTTGTATGACCTTGGGCAAATCACTGTTTCTAAATTTTAAGATTGTAGGGTCCTGTAGATATTTGGAAGTTATCCACATAAAGAAGATAACTAAAGCCATGGAAGCAGAGGAGATTGCTAAGGAAGAGATTGTTATCATTTGAAACTAACTTGAAGGGAAGTCTCTAGTGGAGTGCTTATGCAACTACCTTCAGTTCTGTTCAACATTTTTAACAAATATTATGCTTATTAAATTTGCTGGTGACAAAGCTGAGAGATAGTTAACATTTTCAGTGACAGTTTAAGGATCCAAAATGATTTTGGCAGGCTATGATCTGAATGTAATTTAGAGATAAATATATGTTATGGTCATAAAAATATCAACTTCACAAGTATAAGATGGAGAGACAATATTATTGTCAAGATGTAAGCATGGCCAGACAGTTCATATAAAAAAGACTGGGGGAAGGGGTGTTTGGTGGGGAAGGGAGGGCGGTCTTAGTACTGCAGTATGATCTGCATATTCAACGATTCATATTGAATTATCAGCTGATATGATAACCAAAAATTGTAATATGACCGTAGGCTATGGCAAGTAAGGCACAGTGCCTACAATGAAGGAGGTGATATTCCCAATGTACTTTGCCCTGGTCAGAGATTTGCAAATGTGAAAATATAGAATGAGAAGAAAAAGATTAAAGATTTAGGTTTAATTTACCACTTAAATGATCTCAAGATTACTTTAAGTATATATCCCTACTACTACCACTGTCTTAAAAACTGCCTCTAGTTTTTTCCATGTTTAATTGTTATTTTAAAATAAAATTTATTCTGGACTTTAAATCTTTTCTCTATGCAGAATATTAAGCGAACGTTTTTATTTCCCCTTTATGTCATTTTCCTTAGCTAATATTCTTACCAATACATTCTTAGAATGCTGACACTACAGTTAAATTTCAAGAGCATCAGCCCCCAAACTGAGAATTTTAGTAGCAAATATAAGAAATACTATTTTAAACCATTCTGATTGGTAAATAACAGTTTTTACCATAACAAAATTTCATAGTAAGAAATCATTAAAAATTAGCAAAATTATTAGGTATAAAATATTCTTTTTGTTTCTTGCGGTACAAAACACTTCATTAAATAAATTAACTTATTTTGTTCTAAATGGAACAACATAACTAAATGCATGACTTTCTCCAGATTACTTTTTGCAAATACTTCATTGCTTTTGATAAAACACCTTGAAATTTAAGATATTAAAAAATAAGGTTAGTGCAACCTTCAGCTCACCCTCTAATAAAAATGTATTCCTTGAAAGTTTATGCTAAAACAAATTTAATGTTTGAAAATGTACCAAAACATAAATACTTTAATATCCTTAATATTTAAATGTACTCAATAATGAATTTGAGCACTGCCAGTAAAGTATATAGGAGACCCTCCTTGTGACAATCCTTATTTTCTTCTATTGCCTTCGTTTTGGTTAAGTAAGGGCTGATACAAAACCACCTGCTAAGGTGAAGAAGGGGAGATGGGGTAGTGGGTGGCTAAACAATGATGATTCTATATACCTCATTCTAAAACAGATTAAATTGGGGATGAGGAAATAACAGAAAAAAAAAAGGAAGTAACAGAAGGTACTCTTCTCAAAAACATTCCATATATATTCCAAATTATTAGAGGTTCCTTTTAGTAAGTTCCGTTTAGAGGCAATTATCTTTTAGAACATTTATTCTTTTTTTAAAGGAATATTCTAAGATTCTATTAGTGGAATAGACCTTGGGAACCTAATCCTTCCTAAAACGCCACTTAAAATTCTGAGGGTCTCCTAAATTATTTTATTTCAGTAGGAATTTGAGATTCATGGTATTAAGTAGAACTATCCTAAAATGCTTCTAACATATACCCTACATTCAAAATGTCATAATCACTAATAAACAAAAAAATTCCAGAAATCCCACCTGATGATCCAAGTATAGGGTGTTCTTTTGAAGATGATGTGAAAGAATCTCATTCTAGTAGATGCCAGTCAAGCAGAAAAAGGACAGGGACAGAAGGTCAGGACAGAAGCCATAAAAAGGACAATTTTTGAAAACAGGAAAATGACTAGTTTACTTTTTTATTAAAACCACAGCACATCATCATTTTCATACAGGTTTACACGTATATTGTATAATGTGCAAGATGTGACATGCAATTTAATAATTATTAAAATTGAAATTACTAAATAAACATATAAAGTGAACAAGAAAAATGTTGAGTCCAATTAATAAGCTATCAGTTTTAAGTTTCAATTGGTAAATGTAAATTCTTTTCTGAAATACGTTACTCCTTAAACACATGTCCATGAAAAATTTCCATTACTTTTCTCAATCAAAAGAAAAGGCTATGAACCCTTTGAGAATTTAGCCACATAATAATGTACTTTTGATCAAAAATAATTTACACCCTGAAGTGGAAAGATGAAATAGTAGAAGGTACTACTATTTAAGAATTTTTGCAGCCAACACTTTCCTTTCTAATCACTGTAGTACCTCTCCTTTGTAAAATCAGATATGGATATAAAATAGTACATCTATCAAGTCTATTATTAAATGTCAATTTAGAAAGTCTGATTTGTATCTTATTTGTATTTTGTTTTGGTGTAGCATTAATAAATCAACTGGCCTCAGAGCTCAAAAGGTTAATAGCAGGATATGATATGTTTAACGCAATGATAGCATTATGCTTGACAACAATTGCAATGTAGAAACTGTGATTAATAAGTGGTTCAAAATTAGTGATGATGACAGGTGATACATATTAATTACTTCATAGCTGACCTTTGGACAGTGAGCCTCAAGTTTGAGTTGCATGAGCTGTGCTAATGTATTTTCCCGGATACTACTCAGTTCAGCTTGCTGCCGTCTCAGCTTTATTAGCAGCAGTGTGAGCTCCTCTGGCTGAAGGAGTGTAATTTAAGAATCCAAATAGTGGAAAACATTAATTATTGTTTTAAATGACAGTTATTCATACCAAGATTTCTTGGCAAGTTTTCTTTGGTGGTTAAACAGGCTGAAACATCAATCATAGCACCTAGATAATATAGGTCTTACTTAAGTGCATATATAATTATAGAAATAATAGAAATAGCATCATTTTTGGAGTTATCAAAAATACCATTATAAAAGAGTATCATAAACTTCACCCACAAAAGCTCTCTTCTCAAAGCAATGGAAAGGGCATTTGAATATTACAGGCATTGAGAAAATACAGGCGTACAATGAAAATTACAAAGACTTGTAGTAAGGATGGGCTAAGCATCGAGCTGAATATAAAAGGCTTAGTTCACTCTATTAAAGATTTCCAGTAAGACAATGTCTAGTTCAGTGGAAGGAACTCCGGGTTTAAGGCCCTGGGCTCAACTCTTGTCTCTGACACTTTCTGCCTGTGTGACTTTGGGAAAGTCACTTAAAAGCCATGGGCTTTATAGTTTCTTCATTTGTATAAACGAGGGAGTTAGACTAAATATGACTGAGAGACTCCTTTAAGTTCTAGGTCTGTAATACTATAAACAATAATGATATCAAAACGTTTCTGATAACAGAATAGTTCCTGAGTGATTAAAAAAATTATTTTACAGAGTAGAAGGCAAATGAAAAGGTAAAATTGAGATTTAACACTTTGAGGGAAAGATTTTGATTTGATTAAAATCAACTAGACCTACTAATTATTTCCTTGTTACATTTTTAACATCCTTGATTAATTCTTCTACATTTCCCAAAATTAATATTCTAATGATCTTTAAAGTGAAAATATTGCCTTTCACAGGCAGAAGTACTCAGTGCAAGTATGTATGTTATCATGTACATACATGGAAAATGTAAGATTTGCCTTTACATAAAGAAGAGTAAATACTTCTCTTCATACATACATAGATGGAACATTTTATCAGGAGCCCCCAAGGGACCATTCTCATACTGTTTTTCTCTCAGAGCAAGAAGATATAATACTTGGCAGTAGGATAATGATTTAACTTAGTGATTCTCAAGCTACACTATGATTTATTAAAAAAAAAATACCTAGGGTAGACCAGACAAAGAATATTCTCTCTTATCTTAGGATACTTTTGTATCTTGTAGAAACAATTTGTGAAAAATTTTGCAGAATACACATGGGTTTCCAGCAGTAGCACAGAATTTTCTGTTCAAGTTCTTCTTTTGATTTTTGATGTCAAACATGATTTTTTCTTATGTTTCTTTTTACTATTTATTCTCTACTCAAAAACAGTTCTTTGAGGATAATCATTTCCAGATATTTGGAATATCATTGAGAATTAACAACTTCTGATGGGAAAAATGCCTATGAAGATAAAGTTGGCAAAGTTCCTCACATAACAAAGAGGGAATTTCCAAAATCTTAGTGAAGTTTTAAGCTTTAATAGTGTACCAAGTACACAGTTTTAAGCTTTAAATGCTTAAAAATGCACTAAGGCTTTTGGGAGACAGTATATATTCTTCTGAACCAATGTATTCCTTTAAATATCCATATATACTACAGAATCCCAAAGTAACGTTGCAAGGACTGTTGGGATCTTTCATATCTTAGGATAATCTACAGGTTATGAAAATCTTGCCAGTAAGAAAATAAGTAAGGAAGGGTATGAGATTCTGATATTAAAAGAACAAAGAAAAAAGGAAAGGGGTCAGTAAATAATTTTGGAATAAGAAGTAAAGGGAAGTATCTTAAGACATATGAGGAACACTCTGTTCAGCTAAAAAGATGAAAAACAAACTAAACTTTGATGAAAAGTTTAGTCCCATACAAAATTTAATTAAATGATAACATTCAAGTCAAAGCCAAAAGAAATTCTTATTAGAAAAACAACTGTTGGTAAATCATTTTATCTTAAATGCCCACCAGAGGGAGCACGAAGCATTAACTTCAATAAACGGGTAACGTAGAAACAGGAAAACCATGTATCAAAACATCAGAAAATCACAGAACTGAAAAACGTAGGGTCTTTCAAGAGCATTTAGAAAGGAAGAGACCAAGGCTCACATAAATACGTTTACACAAAAAGTAAATATTAGAAATAGGGTTCAAAATTAGGTTGGTTGTTAACGGTATTTAGAGTAGGAAAGATGACGAATAAAACAATAAAGAATTCTTCAATCAACACTGGAAAGCTTTAGATAAAGCTTATGATAAGGCAGGGCATTTTGACGTGCTATTTTTAACACCAATCATTTATAAGGGCCCCTCGATTACTCAAGAACGTGAATTCTGCCCTCACCCCCACCCCATGGTCCTTCCTTCAAAAGTGATACCCATGACCTTGCAACTTGTGAGAGGAGTAAGAACACATACGCTGTTTGTCCAAGATGTAATCAGTTTAGGAGGAGCTATGTACTATTTACTTGGCTAACCACAGCATGGGGTTTTCATCAAGGCAGTGAGTGTGGTATGCTGGGCTTAGTCTCAAAGAGATTGGGTTTCAGTCCTGATTGTAACCACTACCTAGACATGTAACTTCAAGCAAGTTAGCATCTCTTTCTAGGTCTCAGCTGTCTTATCTTTAAACCGAGGAAGTTGAACAAGATAATCTCAAGGTTCCTCCACACTCAACTAAAAAAAGAAAAAAGCATGATTCTGTCAGTTTTGACAAATAAAATGCTTTATCTTAGCATATAAAACATTAAACAGCTTAAAATTTAGTGCTTTGAGAAAAGCATTGACAGCTGCAGACAGTAGGATGAAGAGTGGAAAAGGAATTTAAATGATGAAAAATTATTTATTTTGAACAAAATTGTAACTAGCAGAAAATTCACATTTTCAAAGAAATCGATATGTATGCTGAATATTAAAGCTCCTTAAACAATGTAGTTTTTGCAATTATTGAATAAAAAAATGAAATCGGGACAGCTAGGTGGCGCAGTGGCCTGAAGCACCGGCCCTGAAGTCAGGAGTACCTGAGTTCAAATCCCACCTCTGACAGATAACACTCCCTAGCTGTGTGACAGTGGGCAAGTCACTTAACCCCAATTACCTCACCCCCCTCCCCCAAAAAAGAAAGAAATCATTTATTTGTCTTCTAGGATAGCGGATTGATGAATTTTGGGTTGTGAATGGGAAAAACCTTGGGTAATATAAAGATAAACATATAATATATATGTAGATATGCATTTTTGGAGACTTCAAAATTTTTCATGGCACTTTTTTTTTTGGGAGGCAATTGAGGTTAACTGACTTGCCCAGGGTCACATAGCTGGTCTCTTGAGGCCAGATTTGAACTCAGGTCCTCCCAACTCCAGGGCCAGTGCTTGATACTTTTCACTTTCAAAGCTAATTAATGTGATTTTTGTCAGAAGTAGTCCAGCAGAAAGCAAATAGTTTATTGCTAAGTAAATAAGTCCAAGTGAGTAACCTGAGTCATATATCCATTAAATGGTTTGCCAAGGGTCACAAAGCTTCTTCTAAGTGTCAGAGGTAGGATTTGAATTCAATAATAATAACAACAATAAAAAATAAACAGTTAACATTTACATAGTATTTATGGTATGCAAAGCCACATAAAATAATAAATATTACTTGATCCTCACAACAATCCTGGGAGGTAGGTGCTATTTATGTCCATTTTAGAGATGATGAAACTGAGGCAGACAGGGGCTAACCAAGTCACTCAGGGTAACATAGCTTGTTAAGCGTCTGATGCTGGGTTTGAAGTTGGGTCTTCCTGACTCTGGGTCCAGTGTTTTATCCATTGAGTCACTTAGTCATCTCTTTAATCTAAGGCCAACACTCTATCCACTATCTCAAAATTCCTTCACATATAATAAATATTATTTCTATTATGGATAATATGTATCTCTGTAAAAATCCCCCATTCCAAAATTTAACATTGTGTTGTGCTTAAATTTTGTGCATGTTTAAATCTTGCACATTAACGATGCGCGTAACACAAATGAAATTATTACAGTGGAATACTTATTTTGCTTTTATACATAGTCCTTACTATATAAACACATTTTTCTATTATAGATATGAAGCATACTTCATTTCTGTGGGAAGCATGGCTGTGTAGTGGATAGACAGCAAGCCCCAGAGTAAGTAAGACCTGGGTTCAAACCCCACTTCTAACATACATGAAGTGTGTGGCCCTGGGCAAGTCACTTAATCTCTTAGCGTCCAAGGCAATCCTCACTCCAAGACTACAAATGAAAGAGCAATAGCTGATATACATCGATAGTTTCCTTACTGGGTGTTGCTACATCAATTGCAAGTCTCTCTGGAACCCTCAATCCCAAATTAACCCTGTCCTTGCAATTCCATATTATACTTTATCAATATAAAATATATATGCATAATTCATATAAGCAGACTTGTGAAATACTACACAAAGCAGTAATACTGATTTCTATTTTTGGCTTGTGGAATCTGTCTTATTACTTTATATCTTTAAAGGTGATAAAATCAGTCTAACAGCATGTAGCTAAAGTTCATGATTGTTGAAGACTATATACCTAGATATTTAAATATAAACATCTTGAATTCCAGTTTTGTACTCATGAGTCACATACTTAAAATATCATCCAATATATGACAAGATAATTCATTATTCAAAATAATTTACTATTCTTCCCTAAAAGTAACTATTTTGTGTTGCAATACATCTCTATGAATGAAAAAAAAAAAGAAAGAAAGTAAAATTAATGCCATCTGCACTTTGTTCTTACATATCATCCTTAGATAGAATATGATGTGCCAAAAAATTTTAGCTCACCGTCTTGCCTTGGAGGCTTTGGGGATTAACTGGCTGTAAAGTCAAGCCTGCCGGCATCGACCTTCGATCAGGTACAAAAACATGCTAGAGAAATAAAGGAACAATATAACCCCTGTGTTGAGTCGTGTATATGTGGGGGTTTTGGGGGGGAAAGGGGGGGGGGCGCAGAGGGTGTCAAGGTCAAGGTCAGTCACTCAAAATGTTAAGTAGAGTTACACTGTAAAAACATTTTAAATTACTCATAGTGCTGGTGAAAGGAGCCAGATACTAAGCCAACTTTTGCTAATTTAAAACACAGATGGCTCAACACAGGCTAATTCTACCACTTTTATTTAGTATAAGGATTATGGTTTGGTGGGATTTTTGGTGCAGACATTTAGTCTGCTGGAACTGGACAGAAACCGCTAATTCATCTCATACAGGCTGCTGAAACACCAGATAGTTAAGTTCTGCTTAGCAGTGCAAAGAACATGGAGATCTATGATATAGTATGAACTTAGAACAGATTAATCTTATTTAACATGATTTAACCCAAGAGAAAATTAATCAGCTTTATCAAAGAAAGATTTATTGATAAAAATACAATAGAATGAAATGTGAAAATATTATGAAATCTTCTGGGAGCTACTTTTTATTTTTAAATGAACAAGAAAACGTTTAATGTTCAAAAGTGGCAAAGGCCAAATCAAAATCAGAATCAGATATTTTTAAAAACTGTGAAATTCTGATTATGACTTGGATTAGGGGAGACTGCTTGGTGCAGCATACTCTGACTTATGGTATGAATATATTTGTGAAATAATGAGCTTTACTATAGTGGAATTCTATTGCAGCTCTTGAATCTTAAAAGATCAACTGAAAGCAAAAATACTAAACTTTGACTACTTAAAAAGGTAATTACTTATGTTGGTAGCAACATTTTCAAAATATTATATAGTAGTGAAACCCATGCATTTCAACGATATTCAATGTGATCAATAAGTGGAGGTTAATCACTATAAATTCTGTGCAGACAGGGACCATTTTCACTTTTATCTTTTTATCTCTGACATCTCTTGCTGAGTTTTGGGTGCCATAATTTTAAGAGGGACCTCATCCACAAACTGGAGTGTGCCCAGGTGATTATGTTCAAAATGACATCTTACAAGGAACAGTTGAATTAGTGGAGATGTTTAACCTGAAGGAAAGATGACTTAGAGGTTATGAGAGTTATCTTCAAACATATGAAGGGCTGTTATTTTGAAGAGGAAATAGAAATAGAATTATTTTGAGTTGGAACTCACAGGGGAAAAGACATGTGTCCCACTATTTACTGTGGTGACGTGCCAGCCAAAGAAAAGGTTCAATGGGAGAGGAGCAAGTAGGAAAACCTAGAGAGGGCAACTGCGGAAATCTGGAACTGCATTTATGGCTGACAAAGATTCTCTCCAAGAAATCTGGGGAGGATTTCTGCAAGGCCAATGATTCATGTATTATTGCTCAGAGAAAATCATGAAATATTCATTCTCCAAAGAGCTTTCCTTGTGATCCTAGGGGATGAAAATTTCTACCCTGGGTTTTGATACTGATCGTGGAACTTCAAAAAAAGTAAATAACTTTTCTCTTAAACTTCTAACACCTGAACTTTAACAAAAGCAATAGAAACTATACATACAAATAAAACCTAGCATTTATAAGTTAGAGAATTAGATATATACTTTGAATATTTTACCTTGGGGTGATGTGTTCGGTGTCTGCGCTCCACTGTTAAATCTCCTCTCTGTATCGGTGAAGAGACTTCTGATCTATAAGTTCGCTGAGGAGAATATCCCTGAAAAGCAGCTATTGAACCATGGGAAGGTGATGTGGGAATAGAGTGCATTGCTTGGTCAGAAATGTTAATCATAGTTTTAGGGCTGCTTAAAGTGCCATGTCTAGTGAGAGTACTTTGCTTATTGTAGAACTGACGCTGCTGCCACTCATAGAGCTGCCACATTGTGTCATCTCTCATGGATCTCCGCTTTTCTTCTGTTGGTGGTCCCACTGTCCTGTCATGAGCCGATGGTGTGATGCTGCATATGCTCTCAGGTCTTGTCTTGCTATTTCTTGGGAGAGTTCTGTAGCCTTCAGGATAGCGAGGAACAACATGGGCTCTGTGGCTTGGCATATTTCTTGGTAATGTCTGGTAGGATATCACACTGAAAAAAAAATTTAAGGATGACAGAGCTAATCTACAAATTGGAATGGATTAATATTTCTTCAATAACTTCAACTTTGTTACTAGGTATAAGACTACAAAACTGAAATACCAAAGAAAAATTTAAAATTACAACTAAAAATTCATTTTAATCGAATCAGCAATATCCTATAACTTACTTCTACCTATAACTACAAACAACATTTTTAAAAAGTCTTACGGATGTTTTATTTTTCATAACATAAACATTTACAGGATATTCCAACTTTGTGAGAAGCCTCTTGTAATAAAGTAAAATAGTTAAGTAAGACTAATAACATAGTGCCCTCATATGAAAGGGAATGCATCATTTCCCATTTGTAGCACCCCCTCTTACAGCTCTTTTAAAAAAGTGATCAAAATCTATTTCCTCTCCTCCCCACCCCCGGAAAAAAAGAAAAATAAATTTCTTGTAATAAATATGCAGAGTCAAGCAAAACACCCCTGAAATTTGCCCACAGATGTTAAGGACCTTTGATTAGAATATTAGTTCATGCTTGTCTTTTTTCTGCAACAGTATAGGATACACATGCCCATCTTATATTTCCATTATGAATTCTCAGGTGCCAATAGTCACTCTCTGTCCCAAGGGTTCCTTTGCTTCCAGTTCCCCAACTAGATTCTCTTTGCTGATCAAAAATTAAGTTCAGAATAATGGCAGTAGACTACTCATTAAATTAGGGATGGCATCTTGGGGAGGGAGGGGGAGAAAATTTAAAAGTCAAAAGCTTTTGGAGTCTGATGCTGAGTGGTGAGCAGAACCAAAAGAACTTTGTACACAGTAACAGCCATGTTGTGTGATGACTAATATTGATAAACTTAACCCTTCCCAGCAATACAAGGATCTCAGACATCTCCAAAGGCCTAGTGATGAAAAATGCTATCCACAAGCAAAGAAAGAACTATGGAATTTGAAGGCAGACCGAAGCATACACTTTGCTATTTTTTTTTCTCTTCTGTTGACTTTTGTTTCCACTTTATGGTGGTTCCTCCTATTGGTTCTAATTCTTACTTACAATATCACTAATGTGACAATATGTTTAATAGGAATGTATATGTATAGACTATATCAGATTGTGTGCCATCTTGGGGAAGGTGATGGGGAGGAAGGGGGAGAAAAATTTTAAACTCAAAAGCATATGGAAGTGATTGTTGATAAATCAAAATAAATTAATTAAAAAATAAAATCATCACTCTTATAAAAAAAGCTTTTTGAAGTGATTATTGAAAACTAAAAATAAATGAATTAATTTAAAAAAATTAGGGATGGCAACTAGATTTATGATTTCACTGGTATAAAGAATTCCCTGACAAATGATGAATGTAGTGTGGAGCCTTCTTTGAAGTGTAAGAGTCTTAGAGAGGTGCTTAAAGCACTGAGAAGCTGATCAAATGACAAGGTCATAAAGCTCTCGTGTCAGAGACTTGAACCCAGGTCTTCCTAGCTTCAGTGCTAGTTCTCTACTACACCGCGCGGCTTCTCTTGCTTATTGGGGCAGCGAGGTGGTGCAGTAGGTAGAGTGCCCTATTCTGGAGTCAGGAATACCTGTGTTCAAATCCAGTCTCAGATACATATTAGCTGTGTGACCCTGGGCAAGTCACTTAAATTTTGTTTGTTTTAGTTTCCTACTCTGTAAAATGGGAATAATCATAGCACCTCCTAGGGTTATATTATGAAGATCAAATAAGATAAAAATTGAAAAGTGCTTAGGACAGTCCCTGTCACATAGGAGGTGGCTATGTCAATGTAAGCTATTAGTATTGAAATACTGTTGATAAATACAGTGAAGTCATGATAGTTGTTCTGGGGTACTCCATCTGACTACTGAATTAGTCTGAGGTAAGTATCTGTGCGGACAATAGGGACAACAGGCTAGTGAGATCTAGCCTCACAAAACTGAAAATAAAGGGGGTTTCATTTGACAATTTCCCTCTCAATAAAAGTTCACTCACACTCCTGTCTTTGTAGTTCTGATGTCTACTTTACTATGCAATAGAAATAGCATGTAACTACCAGAATACAAATGTTGCTTTTTGGCAAATTAAACTGCATATCATTTCTTAATACACCAGAATGGGGGGAAACCATTGGAAATAAATGAGTCCAGGATTAACATTTTTACAACTTTTCCATGCAGATTTGTGCATGTGTCAGAAGGGGTCGCGTTTGTCCAGTGATTGTTATTAGAAAATTCGGATCACAATTGTGTATTGCTAATCATTGATCGTAGTCCCAAAAAAGCCTTGTGAAAATGTTATGCCCTGTGAAACAGCAAAGTAACATAAAACAAAATTGAAAATATAAAAGGGACAGCTCCCTGGCTAGCCTCAAGCATAATTCTGGGATAGACACCTTTTTCAACTGTTCAATTTGAGACTGGCCAGTACTACCATGTGAATTGACAGTTGCAGAACAAAAATACGTGCAAGATCGAAAGACCATTAAAAGAAATCAGACCCAGAAAAATTATAAAAGATCATTCTACAATTGAAGATAAAATGATAGAACACAGTTTCCAAAGTACCTCTGTAGGACAGATGGTCCTTGAAAAAGACAAGTAACTGCTTTATATTGATCTTTGAGTTACCTTGTAGAAGAGAAACAAATGTTTGCAATTCCAAGTCAGAGCAAAGAGAGATATCATCATACAGAGACAGGAGTTTCAAGGTACTACAGCAAAAACAATCAAATAGTCCCTGAGAAAGTTATCATTATGGCTCTGTCTTATTAATGAATGAAAACACACTTAAAGGATTACTATGTGTTAACTGCTGGGAATACAAGTAGAAAAAATGAGATAGTCCCTACTCATAACGGGCTCCTACACTACCCTGTAATTCAGTAACACCAGTTTTCTTGCTATTCCTCTTACAAAATATTCCATCTCCACTCTGTGCATTTTCACTAGCTTTTCCTCATGTCTTGAACTCATAATCTCCATCATCTGGCTTACTTCAAATTTTGACTAAAGTCCTACCTGTGACAAGAAGTCTTTCTCAGATCCTCTTAATGTTACTACCTTCCCTCTGAGATTACCCATTTTGTTCGTACATAGTTGTCTGAACGCTGTCTCTCCCATTAGAGTGAGCTCCTTGAATCTTTTGCTTTTCTTTGTATTACTAAGGCTTAGCATAGTAGCTGGCACACAGTAGCCACTAACTTTATTTTCTTTTTGACAGGGTTACTAAATTGATAGATCAAAGGGATATTCTAGCTGTTTACCTATATTTTAACAAAGCATTGATAAACTATCTCAAGCTTTTCTTATTTAAAAGATGGATATGTGGGCTACCTGATAAAACAATTAGATGGATTCAGAACTGTCTGAATGGTTGGACTCAATAATGGTTTAATGTCAACTTGTAAGGAAGTTTCCAGTATAGTGTCTCAGGTAGAACCCATGCTTGGAATTGTGCAATTACGAATTTTTACCAATGACCTGGATAAAGGCACAGATGGCATGCTTATTAAATGTCCAGGTGACACAAAACTGGGAGGAATATACAACACAATGTGATGAGGCTGACTTCTGCCCAGCAACAATGAGAGACTTGCCTAAATCTAAATCTTGAATGTTGCAAGCAAAGCTCCTGTTTGGTGATCACATCCTTCGTGAACATACCTAGTACACCTGCTTCCCTTTCCTGCCTCCCCTTGCTTGTGGTTAACTGCCCTTATAAGATCATACCCCACACCAGGCTGAAAATATAATACACAAATACACAATAATAAACAACACACAAAATTTGTGTATAAAAGAAAGCCCCTGTCTTTTCTCAAGTTGCTAGTACCCTAAGGACTATCCTACCACTTTTGCATCAACAAAGCCCTCTTGACTAGGAGAACATCTGTCTCCTGCATTCCTTCCAGACAACCCAACTCTGAACCTCACACACCTCATCACAGTGGATGATAGTTATGATGCACAAAAACCTGACAGGATAGACTACTGGGCTAAAACAAATAAGATGAAACTTTTATAGAAATAAATATGAATTCATACAGAAGATGAAAAAGATCACCTTCCAAAGCATAAGATGGGGGGTGGGTGGGAAGAAACAGGGCTAAAGAATAGCTTGTCTTTAAAAGATCTGGGTCTTTTCAAGGACTGTAAGCCCCAAATGGATCACCAGTGTAATACTGGCAGCAAAGAAAGCTAATGCAATGCTAAGCTGCATTAAGAGAGGAAGGGTCACAGGTTTGTGTGAAAGTACTAGAAAGAGTAAGAATAAATGCACTTTTCCTTCATATGGTAAATATAACTATCTAAACCAAGGGCAAGGAGGACAGCCAAAATAGTACAGCCTACTTCTGCCTACAATTATCTAAGAAGAATGCTGGATAGAGTAGTGGATGGGAAATCAAAGGGGAAATTGCAGTGGATGATCTATCTAAGTGTGGAACATGGGTAGGCTGGGATCACAGACTCAGCTCTCAGAACTCTGAACTATGGCAACAACATAAGGTAGTAGGAGTTGATCAAAGACTGAACCCAAGCCTCAAACAGTGAGCGGTCTGTCTCTTAGAGGGGCCAGGAACACAGACTCCAAGCCTAGAGCTTGGAGCTATGTCTGTTGTGAACAGATGTCTGGGATCGATCTTGTATGAACTCAGAGCCCATAGCTCCCAGCACAGAGATGCCCAGAGCAGATCATAAGCTTAGTCTTCCTCCTAGAAAAGCAGTTGGAGGGAGGTGAAAGGATCACTGATTCAGGTCCAAGAGAGCTCCCAGCCAGGCCACCAATGACAATTCATCCAGAGCCCTGGAAAAATAACTAAGCAAAGAAGATAAAGAGCTTGAGAACCAGCAATGCCCAAAATACAAATCCAAAAGGGGAGAAATACTACAAAAACCTACAAGCAAAGCCACAAAGAAAAACATGGCTTGCCCATAAGATCAATTATAATTGCAAAGAAATGATGTAAGAGTTAAAATATGGTAATATAAATGAAATGAGAAT